AAAAATCAGGAAGATCACTTTTGCTGGAATCCACTGTGAATACAAATACATATTAATATTGGCATAATGGAGAATTGTAGCAATTCAAATATATGGATTTCAATGTTTCTTTGCAAATAAAAAATGTATCATATTTTTTCTTCGATCCGAAAATTAGAGAACAGGAGTGAAAAAGTGAACACTTTTTCACTCCTCTAAAACAACATCATCAATGTATGTCACAAATTAAAGAAAATCTTGGAAAAATAAACTCTGGGTTTGTTAATGGTATCAAAATATGATTTTTGTGTCAATATTTGAAAATATTAGTAATATTAAACCAAAGGAAAAAATAACTGTTGTATTATTTTCTGAAAAGAATATTTCTCTGAAGATGTTAAAGTGCTAATTGAGAGCTAATTATCATGTTTTATTTGGGAGACAAAATAAAGACTCAATAATCACGAGGGAGAAGATTTTTGCTCCATTTACTCATTTAAGGATTGACGTGTAAGAAAACATTAACAAGGACAATAAGCCACAGAAGCCATGAGGTTAAACTGTATCATCAGTGTTTGGTGTATCTTCAAAATTGTAAAGCTCTTGTGGGGAGGATAGGATAGAAAGAGCATGTTTCTTGAAACTAGCTCACTAACCAAGCTAGCTAACATTACTGTCTGTATTCTGTTATGATGTGTGTATCATGCTGTGTGTATGTATGTGCATTTACTTATCCATCCATCCATCCATCCATCCATCCATCCATCCATCCATCCATCCATCCATCCATCCATCCATCCATCCATTCATCCATCCATCCATCCATCCATCCATCCATCCATCCATCCATCCATCCATCCATCCATCCATCCATCCATCCACTCTATTCTTTTTCAGCTCATTTATTTATGCATCTATTTATATAGCTATGAATTTTTATTTTATTTATTGAAATAATAAAAGAAAGAACCTTAAACACATTGTTTAACAGGTTTTGCATTTCATTCAACACATTTTCTCTTTTGGTTTTATCATCCAGTGTGTCAGACACACATCTACACGCACACACACACACACAAATAATTCACATGCACAATAACGTATAGGCCGTAATGTTAGTTAGCTTGGTTAGATAACTCGCACTAGTTAACTTCAAAGAAGGCTAATCGGTTGATTTGTGACAATAACCCTGTCACAGCATTTATGATTGACACACACAAACATTTGTGAGGTAAAAAATAAAGATAATTATATCTAAAAGTTCTTGCTGTGCGAAATATTATTGTTAAGGGGTGACACTTCGGACTCAGTGTGTATGGTTTACATAAAAATATTTTCCTGACTGTCACAACTGGTAAGAAACAAAGATCTGCATTAAATTCCATAGGAAATAAATGAGGGTCATTTTGGAATCACTTATGGAAGACAGGGGTAGAGATATAAAAACATGCTATTTGTTAAAATGTTTAAAAGGTAAATTAAAAATTTGAATTGCATGATAACATGTTTGTTGAGGAATACCTGGAATATGAAGTGATGAAAACTTTTCATTACAAAGATATTGCAAAAAGACGACCTCACCAGGTCCAAAAGGACCCACTTATGCATCAGAGGGTTAACAGTGAAATAAAATCATATTTCACTGTTTTCTTTTTATTACCACAACAGCTAAAACGAGAGAGCTGGAGCTGCAGAAAGATGAATTAGACAAGCTGAAACAACAACACCAAGGTATTTTTTTAATTGTCCAAGTAAATAAGCTTAAAGAACAAGAACAATTTTGATAAACTTAATAACTCTATATTAACTTCAACTGCAGGGATGGATAACTAAAAGAAATGACTTTTTTATTTAACCAAAAAAGTGATGATAAGATGCTTGTACTTTTATTATTGTATTTCCAGCTCAGGCAGGAGAGCTGAGCAGTGTTAAAGCTCTGGCAAATATCACCGAAGACCAAGTGGAGTCTCTGAGAAGAGAAGGAGAAGGTTAAATATCCTTATTGAACACTCATATTATCATTTCAACAACCTCCAAGGCTCATAACTGTATTTCTTTAAGTGTCTCTTTTTTAACATATAAGTAACTAAGAAACAAAAATCATTTCATTTTTGTCAAATTATATTTTTTCTTTGGTCCACACACAGTCCAGACGAAAGAACTGGAGGTGCAGAAGAAAGAGCTCGACAAGCTAAAAGAACAACACCAGGTATGCCAATAATTAAAAGAAAAGAAAAAAAAACTCTTATTAAATGTATCAAAACATTACTTTTTATGTCAGCTGCCATGATTAAAAATATTAACAAATATTAAAATGAAGCAGAAAACAAAATTCTGTCATTGTGATAATTAACAGTCATAAGAATATTATATTTATATTAGACCTGCAGAGCTGACAAGAAAGAATCAACAAAGACACCAATGTCTTTTTATTAAGTGAATAAATTTTGTTTTCTGTATTGAAAAACTGAGGATAATTATTCTGTCTTCTGTGTTTCTGGATAAATGTAAAAGGAATCCGACAAATAATCTTTTAAAGCTATTGATAGCTACTTTTTTTGCTTTGCATAATTTCAGCTCATGCAGAGGAACTGCTGAGAGTTCAAACCAGGGCAAACGGCACTGAACAGCAGGTGGAGGCTTTGAGGAGAGAAGGAGAAGGTTTGTGAATTCACAAATAAACTCACTATGACAACAATAACGTTTATAAAAATGTTACATTTGTTTAAAATAAAGAATGAATTATTATTGTTAAAAATATGACCAAATGTTTAATCCCACATTCTTCTTTTTTATTCAAATCAAATAAGCTTATAGTGGATAATTTCATGGTTGATCCTAATAATTACTTCCTGACTTACAGTGAAACGAGTGGCTTTCTCAGCTTCCTTGCTGGCATCAGGTGGTGGAGAAACTGGACCATTTAACACACAAACACCTCTAGTCTTCAAACATGTTGTTTCAAACATTGGAAATGCCTACAACCCAAACACAGGTACCTCTGTTTACATCATGATGATGACTATTATTATTATGTATTTATTATTATTATTATTATTATTATTATTATTATTATTATTATTATTATTATTATTATTATTATTATTATTATTATTATTATTATTATTAATTTTAATTTTATTGTTATTATTTTGCATTTCAGGTTTTTTCACAGCTCCAGTCAGAGGAGTCTACCACTTTGAGTTCTATATCTTTGGACATGGACATGCTTCATATAATACAGGTGCTGGGTTGACCAAGAATGGAGGACATATTTTTTTTGCATATGAACATCAGCCTTCTGATGCTGCTAAATCTGCTAATGGTGTCACATTGCTGCTAGAGGTTGGAGATGTTGTATTTTTGCGTCAGTGGCAAAACTCAAGAATTTATGACAACCAAAATCGTCACACAACCTTCAGTGGTCCTCTGCTTTTCACCATGTGAGCAGCAAGCAGGGCTGATTTTCATCATCATCTCTATAACATGTCAGAACTGACATTGAGCTACATTGGTGTGAAAAAGTCTTTGCTCTTTTCCTGATTTCTTATTTTTGGAGTGAGGATGGATACTTTCTATCTTTGAAAAGGAATATAATGATTTGTTTTTAATCAACAAAACATATATCTATTAACATAGCAAATAATAAAGCCACTTCAAAGACCAAAACAATATATAATGAACCAGACCAAAATGTTGCCATACAGTGTTTTTCTAAGATGATACATGGCTGTGATTATTGATGATGATGTTTTTATTGAGGAGGCAATAAGAGAAAGTCCTCATTATCATTTGGCTTATGGGATCAAGAGAAGGTAACCCTGGCTTTGCCTTTTGTTGTTTGTCTTTTTTGTGTGAAAAAAAAAATCATCATAAATTTGAACCTCTTAGAAGTGTTCATAAATTCAGAATTTTTTTTGCAAGTAGAGTGGACTTCCTGGAATGGCCCACCCTTCATTTGCTGTTATCTGATTCTTATCAGATAACAGCAAAACAAAGTCCATCTTAGACAGAATGTTTGAACTATATTTTCACTTTTCTTACTCAGATTTGTGAGCCATTCAACAGCCATTGGCTCATGAATGTTTAATAAATTCTAACTATATGATTTTAGTTTGTAGTGGGCTAACTTCATAAGAGATATTGTGTTGCTCATAAAATGCAGGTCTCACTGTATGACTGAATCTAGGTTTCTAGCATACTCTGGTTTGTGACCTCATTGATTAAGTGCTGATTTCTAATAAAAAACAATGAGAATTTTGTTTTCTGCATTTTTCTGGAACATGCATGTAACAATTACACTCACAAACACTATTTCTCAGTGACTGCAAAGCTCTGTGGTTATGTGGTGACACAGGAATATAAACATGTCGCATCAGCATACAGGACAGTTAAGAGATGTTCTTGAAATGTTTTATCTGAGCTTGGAAAAGCACATTGATATTATAATGTGGTGCGACACCAAAGCTTGAGAAACTCCACATATGGTTTTGTTTCCTCATAATTACAGCTGCCAAGTGAATGAAGAGAGTCCTGGGCAGCCAGATACAATTTAATCCAGTTGTTTAGTACAGTACCAGAGAGCCGAAGAAGAGAGTTTGCTATGTAACAATGACTATTTTGTGTCAAGAACAGAATTGTTTTTAAAGAGAGGCGCTCAAGTTAATGTCAGAAATTTATTTAAGATATGTTTGTCCTCTCCATGAGGAGAGGATTCTGTCCATGAAATGCAAGAATTTCTCTGAATTTTTTGTAAAGAGCAACATTTTATAGTTTTAAGAATGAGAATAACACCAACCAACAACACTAAAAACAAACAGACTTATTATAGAAAAAAATACTCTAGATTCAAACCATGTTCTGTCATTTGTTGCAAAATATCGTGCTTTTTGATTTTATAGGACAAGTCCAATGTATCAAGCCTTACTTATCAAGTGTTTCTAAAAAATACAGAAAAAAAAAGTGGTAATGATTAATCACCTAAAGTAAATACAGCTCTGTGGGTGAAGTGAACCCACAGAGCTGCTCTGTACAGACTGAGGACAGAGATCAAAATGTTTTTCCCAGCATTGCTGCTAATCTGCTCTCTTTCCAGCGCTCAGCTGCATGCTGTAGCCGACAGTGAAATCAGGCTAACTAGATCACAGGAAGGAGACACAGAAAATCTTTCAAATAATCAGCAAACCTTCACGCAGGACATCAATGCCGTGCTGAGAGAGATGAGCGCTTCACTGGCTGGACTGAAGGTGGAGTTCAGGTGCTTACAGAAAGATCATGATGGTATGTTTTGAAACAGAAATATGTGACGAGAATAGAAAACAAAACACTCATTGGTGGGTTGGCAAAAGGGATTTTATGTGTTTTATGTATGTATAACTTATTTAAACAAACATTTAAATAGTATTCAGGGTTTTGGTTCAATTATAAGTTAGTTAATCTATGAGTCTGCAGGGTTTTTTTTCAGTTAAAATAATGTTTTTCTGTGGTGTTGGCTCTTTTGCAAAATTCCGGATCAGGCTTAAGAACTGATGTCTGTTAAAGCTGCAGCAACATCACATCCCGCTTTTCTTTCACAAAAAGCGGGGCTCTGAAGAAGGACAAAGGTTGAAGGCTGGAAAGTTTATGAGCATACTAACATCACATGATTCACCTAGCATTATTTACACTAACATTGCTGAAATTTATCATTTGAAGCTGTTATTGCATTTATTTGTGACATGGCTTTCCTCCTGGTCACTTCACCTTTTTGCCAAATCATAGCCACTTTGATTTTATACCAAGCAAACCTTTTCTCACCCATGTCTCTAAATGTTGCATAATAGCTTGTCTTATGGTAGCATCAATAATTGTAAGGATAATAAAAAAGCCCAAGTCTCACACAAAATTTAAATTAAGAAGCTATTTCTCCTGCAAAAACAGGTTAGGTAAAATCACCTAATAGATTTATTTACTGAAAGAATAATGGCTGTGTCCATAACGGCTTATATCTTTGTTTTTTCCTTTATACACCAACAGCTAAGACCAGAGAACTGGAGTTGCTAAAGAATGAGTTGGAAAAGATAAAGCAACAGTTCCAAGGTATCTCTTACATAAAAAAATGAAATAACATGTTGCAAACTAATGATGTCACATATTTGCTTTCCATAATTTTTAAAACATCTCAAGATGAACTTGTATTACAGTTAGTAGTGTGTATTAAACAAAAACTTCTTAAAATACTAATCATTATGCAAATAATAAAATGATTTTTTTTCTTTCACTCCTCTTTTTATTTATTGTACATCATCTCCAGCACAGGTAGAAGAGGTGACCACAGTCAAAGCCTTGGCAAACAGCACTGAACACCAAGTGGAGGTTTTGTGGAAAGAGGGAAAAGGTAAGTCAATTTATAATTGACCTCACAATTCAAAAAAATATATAACTATCTTGTTTATAACTAATATCAATTGTCTGTTTGTTTTTTCTTATTTTAGAGCAAGTGACAAAAGTAAGACGTCTTGAGCAGCAGTACCAAGGTATTTATGACTAACAATAAATCATGTTGTGATAAATGACACATTAAAAAATGTCTTAAATATTTAGAACCAAATAAAGCAGATTTATGTTAAACAATAGAAAAAGTTGTCACCAAAGATCAAAAATTCGTCTTCACCTGGTTTCTAAACACCTACAAAAATGCCACAAGACGTAAATACTGCTTTCTCTATTTCAGCGAAACAAGTGGCTTTCTCCGCCTCAGTGTTCACTGGAGGAGCTCAAGAACATGTCGGACCATTTAACACAGACACAGTTCTGATCTTCAGACATGTTGCTACTAATACAGGAAATGCCTACAACCCGCATACAGGTGCACAGATTTATGTGTTCATCTGTAATGAGTTGCTCTCTTTTGAGAGCCTGACAAAAATATGGTTAATTCTCACTAATTTTGCCAATAATTATTTAAAATTTTGACAGGGATTTTTTCTGCACCCGTCAGAGGAGTCTATCATTTTGAGTTCTACCTTCATGGCCATGGACATGCGTCACATCCTACAGCTGCTTCGTTGGTCAAGAATGGGCAGCAAATCTTCACTGCCTATGAATGGCAATCTTCCAGGTCTGTTAATCCCTCTAATGGAGTGAATTTACATTTAGAGTCTGGAGATGTTGTTTTTGTGCGTCTCTGGCAGAACGCAAGAATTTTTGACAATGGTAATTATCACACAACCTTCAGTGGCCATCTGCTTTTCCCTTTGTGAGCACAAAACTTTTCTGATTCTCTTTGCCCATCAGGTTTTAGTTTTGCGACTCATAATCAAACTTTGCAGAAGGTTGCATTTTTACATAATGTTTTGATGATGTTCAAATAAATATTGGCAGCCGAATTTGCTGGCTTGACCAGTACAGTACTGGGATATACTTATGATCAGCTTTACATCAGCAAGTTCAAGTGTCTGTAATTTTACTCATGCAGAAAAGTAAAATCAAATCTTTAAAAATATTGTTTATTTCAGCCTTTATTGTCTTTTAAACATTTAAATAATTGCCTAATTTGGAACAAAAAAAGAAACCGTAATGAAGAATAAAGAAACATAAATATAGAACCAGAATTACAATCAAAAGGGATATAAGAAATTCAATCATACAATTTTTAAACAGAATTAAGAGTATTCCTGAAAATTATATATAGGACTTTAATTCTCAGCATACATTAAATGTTTAATCGTGTTTCTGCACTAACTTACAATATGCCATGATGACGTTGTTTGTTCTAATTGTAAATGTTATATTTTAATTTGCTGTAAGCTGAAAATCATTATAACATAAATAAAGGTGTTTCAAACTATTATATTTCAAATAAAAATGTTAATGAACTTTTCACTCACATCTTTGTTCAAACTTTGCATCAGGTGGATTTTATTGCCAGGCTTCAAAATACAAAACAATGAAGAAAAGCAAAAGATAGTCATTTGCTCTAAATTTGTTGAAATAGTAACCATAAGGAAAAAGAACGACAGTCTGATAATGTTATGAATTTTCATCTTCGTCACCTGATCAACATCAGACTTTGAAAATAGTGTACAATGTTAGATTAAAAGTGCAAGATCCTTTCCTTATTAAAATAAATCTGTGGAATGTCATTATCTGTTCTTCTTACAAGGTGTCCTTTTTTCTGTTTGTATAGAAATGTGTTTTATCAATATTGCTGATGTAATGCAAAATTCAAGCTATTCTGACTAACGAAATATAGTGTATCTGATTAATTTGTTTGAGGAGTTTGGAAAGCAACTTGTTTCTCTGACAAAATTAAGAAGAGAAAAGTAGTGAAGCTGCTCAGAGGTCTGACCTGCAGTTTTGTACCAACAGCGTAAAACACTGGAAATACTTCATATTAGCTTGGTGTGATGTGAATTTTATTTTTTGTTGGAATTTTTAAAAAAGTAATAAAGTTCACATTGACTAATGGTTTAATTTTTTTGATGGATTACCTTTTCATTATTTTTTGTTGAGACAAAACAATTTTTTTTCTTTAATAAAAAATTTGATTTTTTTTACAAAATATTTTTTATAAAAAAATTCACATATTTTTAATGTATTTTTAGAATAAAAATATATATTTCATAAAAAAATATTGAAAAAAATTTCACACATTTTTTAAAACTGTCAATATGTTGTGACAGTTTGGTATGATCTATTTAACTGTGTTTAAACAGATTAACTAGATCTGTTAGATAAAATGTAATTGCTATCTCGAAAAAAAACAATCAGAGGCACTGGGTGGGTTTTAATGCTGTAAATGACAATCTCATAAGGCTGCTAATCCTCCCTTGCACACACACACACTCCTAAGTACACACCCACAGAAACGACATACAATGTTCAAAGTCCAATGTTTTATTACAATCTGGAAAGTGATAATGAGCTATTGTCAAAGAAACTATTTAAGGGTTGGATTAAGGCAGAAAACACCAAGTAGACCACCAGGAACAGACTGAAAATGGAGGCGTCAAAAGTTGCAACTTCAACGTCGCTATCTTGTGGGGACACAGCTCAGCATGAAGCACATTTAAGGCAAACTGAATCACAGATAGGAGACACAAAAAACCTCACAAATAATCAGCAAACTTGTACACAGGACATCAATGCTGTGCTGAGAGAGATGAGCGCATCGTTGGCAGGACTGAAGGTTGACATGAAGTACTTAAAGAAAGATAATGAAGGTATGACGCTCCAGTAGATGTAAATCCTTAGGAATCAATCCTTTGAATAATATAGTGTTATATGTATATGTTATACTGTTAATGTAAAAAATACATTAATGCTCACTATTCACCACAACAGCTAAGATATTACAACTTCAGTTCCAGAAGGAGGAGCTGGAGAAGCTGAAAACAACAGCAACAAGGTATAAAACAAAGAAAAATTTTTGAAGTAAAGCACTGAAAATTTAAGTTTTGAAGCATTTTAGATGATTATGTTGAATAAAGGTGACAGTTTAAAAGATGTTTTAATAATGCAAACAGGACGCAAAAATTGTATTATGTGTTCATAATTTAATATTGTTATATTGTCACAACTCTATTAAATGTTATTGTAAAGTTTGTTCTCTTCAATTCTTCAGTCAAGGAAAGAGAGTTGGAGCTCCAGAAGAAAAAGCTGGAGAAGCTAAAAACAACAGCACCAAGGTATTTAGATAGCAATAAACTGACTTACAAAAGTAGATATGATAAGGACCTCAACTTGTTTTATCAACTTTGTGTCACCAATTAATTTCTCTCATCTCAAGTCCAACCATATTGAACAACTAGAACTAATTAAGCATTTTACGGGTTTCAGCTAATAATAATTTTTGTCCTAAAAATTTTTTTCAAATCTCTTTGACTCAATTCTACAGAAAGTCAACTCAAACGTCTAAGTTGTTCCAAACTAAAAAAACTGACATGTCCAAAATGACATTATCACACATATTGTACTTAAAAAAAACAGCTAGAAATTAATTATTTTCATAATGTTTTAACATGTTTAGGTTTTCAGAGAGCCTGTACATTCAAGAAAAGAAAAGTAGAACCAACTTAATTGAATTGATTCAAGTGACAACAAGTAATTAAATTATGTAGATTCAACTTAATAAATTAAACTGGTTTAACTTAACTAAATTGGATGAATTTAATCGACTGAGTCAGAAAATTATGACATATTGAGTTGGATAAACTTAATGAATTGAATTAGATGATCATAATATATTGTGTTGGATAAAGTTAGTAAATTGAATTGTGTAGAACTTAATTTACTAAGTTAAGTTGAGTTGGTTAAATTTCACAAATTAGGTTGGATAAACTTAATTGAATAAGTTGTTTTCGATGGAAGCAATTCAACTAACTTGGTTCAACTCATTTCTTTTCAGAGTGAATTCAAGAAATAAATTAAATAAAATGTTCAACCATAATGAACCTCCCAGGTTCAAATACTGGCTTCGTCTCCCACAGACAAAAAAATAAAATACAATAAAAACAGAAAACTGTGTTCTGTTGGATGTCATCCATTCAAATGAATAAAAGTTAAATATAGCATCAATAAGCAATGGTTTTATCTAAATGTTTATTATCAAATAACATCATGATAAGAGTTTGTTCTCTTCAATTCTTCAGTCAAGGAGAGGGAATTGGAAGTCCAGAAGAAAGAGCTGGAAAATCTAAAACAACAGCACCAAGGTATTTAGAAAATAATAAACTGACTTATAAAAAGGAATAGTAGGAAATCGTTTTATCATCTTTGTGTCACCTACCAATTTCTTCCCTATCAAACCTAATCAGAACCAACTAAAACCAATCAAGAATGGTGTGGGTTTCAGCTAATATAATAATTTTATAACATGACAATGATGATTCAGTGATCACCATGACTTTTATTTGTATGATTTCAGCTCAGGCAGAGGAACTAACCAGTGTTAAAGTCAAAGCAAACAACACTGAAAATGAAGTGGAGATTCTGAGGAGAGAAGGAGAAGGTTTGTGAATTTAAATAGAAACTCACTGTTGTAACTAAACTAAACTATATATATTGTTAACTTAATAAAAGTTAACTAAAGAAAAGCTATCTAAACTACAGTTCATCAAGTTTTAAATTGTTTGGATACTAATAAGGTTTAAATAATTTAAATATTTAATTTGATCTTCTTAAAGAAGAGAAACTTAAATGTTCTGAACATAACATTGACTAAAGTGGATTCTTTCAAATATTTTTCTAAACAAATTATTGTTTAGATCACAAGTAACTATTAAAAGCTAATCCATTTAAATTTTGGCCTCACAGTGAATCGAGTGGCTTTCTCAGCTCCTTAATGGACTCAGGTAGTGGAGACATTGGACCATTTAATGCACAGACAAATCTGGTCTTCAGGCGTGTTATTGCAAACATCGGAAATGCATACAACCCAAATACAGGTACAATAATTTTTACATTATGAGTGGTATTATTTATGAAAACTATAAAATTGAATTAAAACCTAAAAACATGTTCCCAGGGTTCTTCATTGCACCAGTGAGAGGAGTCTACCACTTTGAGTTTTTATCTATGGACATGGACATGCTTCACATGCTTCAGGTGCTGTGTTGTTCAAAAATGGAGAAGCTATCGTTATTGGATATGAACATCAAGCTTCTCACAGTGTTAATGGTGCTAACAGTGCCATCTTGCTATTAGAGATTGGAGATGTTTTGTTTTTGCGTCAGTGGCAAAACACAAGGATTTATGATAACCAAAATCACCACACAACCTTCAGTGGTCATCTGCTTTTCCCATGTGAGGATCAAGGAGTCCAGATTTTTTCAAGAAAACATTGCATCACCATAAGATCATGTCTGAACTGAATGCTTATTTTTAGCTACACTCTAAAAAGTTTTTTTTTGCTGTTCTTAATTTTATGGACTTGTTTACATTAATCTCACTTAATTCATTTGGTGTAGTGATGTCAACTTATTTTTTGCGTTCAATTCAAAAAGTTACAAATGTAAATAATTTAAACTTTTTACTTTGACTTTCTTGAAACAATTGAGTTAAATTCCAGTTTTGTATAATATGTCTGACCAATTCAGTGTATTATGATGATCCAACACAATTTGCTAGGTTTTTAGAGCTTAATTTTTTAAGTGTATTTAATATTACAAATTTAAGTCACACTTGCTGAAATCACTTATTTTCTGATGAATAATTGTAATCTTTTTAACTAATTCCACAGACTTAAAAGTCTGTGCAAACTTTTAAGTTGTTCCAAACTAAAAAACTAAAATGTCCAAAATTACATTATCACTCACATTGTACTTAAAGTTCAAATTTGAATAATTTTAAATGTATGTTTTAACAAGTTATTTTTACAAAAATTCTGTACACTGAAAAAAGAAAATAGTGGAACTAAGTTAATAAATAAGAGTGGGAAGACATGCAGCATATGTCGTCAGGCTGGAATCAAACCTGCGACTGCCTCCTCCAGGAATGCAATTTCTTTATGACTCGTGGTTAACCGCTAATCATTGTTTACACTTAGTAAATTGAGTTGGATAAACTTACCATAATTTAATTACTTGTTACCACTTGAAGCAATTCAATTACTTTGGTTCAACTAATTTATTTTTAAATTGTAGATAAAAATCATTTTTACATTGTTAGAGGTTTTAGACATTCTGCTTCCCTGGTATTATTACATCAAACCGATTCTCAGCAGGCATGATTGGTGGATTTTTTTGATAAAAATATTTTTGTGTTTATTTTGACACCAGACATAAGAAAACCAATAATAAAGGTTCACTTTCTTTAGAGCAAATTTTTCAATGGAAGAAATTTTAATTTGTTTTAATGAATCTCTGCTGCACTGTAAAAAAGGAACCTCAGGGGTTATCACATTAACAAAAGAATATCATGTGTTAACTAAATAATTGCATGTTTGAGCCAAAAACATGATACAATCATGTTGCATAAATAAGATATTCCACAACTTCAACGTTTATAAAATTGAATCATGTTGAGCGAACATGATTCATTATAGTCAGACCGATCCTATGCTGAAGACCATGAGTGAGATCACGCGATATCACGCAAGTTCACGCAAGATTACGGGAAATCACGGGATATCACGCGAGAATGCGCGAGACAATCGGTTTTTTCTCGCAAATGGAATAAAATGTATTCAAGGTGAGATAACGTGATTCAATTACGTCAGCTAGATCTTCCGCCAAAAAAAAGAACGTCGGGGCGTATTACATTAACAAAAAAATATCATGTACCTTTCACACAATAATGTTGGGTTTGAAACGAAAACGTGATAAAATCATGTTGGATAAACAAGATATTCCACGACTTCACATTTATAAAATTGAATCATGTTGAGCTAACATGATTCATTATATTTAGACTGATATTGTGCTGACGACAACGAGTGAGATCACGGGATATCACGCGAGAACACGCGAGACAAT